CATGAGATCAGCAGCCCCTTTATCCCTCAGACTTGAGCAGCCTTTTCCTGAGGGGCTCACAGCATCACAAGCAATATTCAAAAAAATCACAATCCCCCCCCCCCAGACTAGTACAATTTAAACAGTGGGTTCTTTTTCTTTGCCTCTGGCTTTCTGAGCCTTTAGGTGCCCTTGGATCATATTTGCCAGCTTTTCTCCACAACCACAAGGGTTAGAAAGACACTTCTTTTAAATGAAAGCTGCTAGTCTCATCGAATCACATGGCTCCAATGTTTGGGGCTTTTAAGAAAATCACCAAGCAGCACAGTTGGCATCAAGAGTTTGGCACTGGTGGGCTAGTTAGAAAAGGTGCAAGACTGAGCCCTGGAATTACAACACAGGAACAATCAGCCACAAGAAGGTTCAGAGGTTTTCAGTGCCCTTTTCTTCCTTGAGCACTGTGCTGCTCTCCTGAGTCTTAGGGGCTCCATGAAGCTGGCTTTGGTTAAACGATGCTGGCTTTTTCCAGGACATCTATATTTTCAAAATATGAAAGCAGGACACTTTAGGCCAGCTAGTTTAGGATCACAAAATAGTCATGCAAAAGCACCCTTGATAAAAAGTGTGCCCCTGTTGGTACCACCAGCTTCTAAGTCAGTGACATGCAAACTCTGCTAGGAGCGACAATTATTCCAGAAACTTAATGGCCTGAATGAAACTGAACACCTGACAACATTCACCATGAGCAATGGAGCAGCTCCCACAGTATCTACGCTCATCTGACTTCTCCTCGGTCCATCACTGTTCACCAATGTGAATTCTCCATCCATTGTCCTGTTGCTCCATTCCTGGTGAGTGCCAAGTAGATTCTCTGCGTAACGAGACCTCTTGAACAAACAGGCTACGTCTAGACTGGCATGATTTTCCGGAAATGCTTTTCCGTTAAAAGCATTTTTGGAAAAGAGCGTCTAGATTGGCATGGATGCTTTTCTGCAAAAGCACTTTTTGCAGAAAAGCATCCCTGGCCAATCTAGACGTGCTTTTGCGCAAAAAAAGCCCCGATCGCCATTTTCGCAATAGGGTTTTTTTTTTCGCAAAACAAATCTCAGCTGTCTACACTGGCCCTTTTGTGCAAAAGTTTTGTGCAAAAGGGACTTTTGCCCGAATGGGAGCAGCATAGTATTTCCGCAAAAAGCACTGATTTCTTAAAGTAGGAAGTCAGTGCTTTTGCGGAAATTCAAGCGGCCAGTGTAGACAGCTGGCAAGTTTTTCCAGAAAAGCGGCTGATTTTCCAGAAAAACTGGCCAGTCTAGATACAGCCATACAGTGTAGTTCAAGTGCAGACAGGTACTGAAGGGTGAAAGGAAGAGCCAGGATATCAGCTGAAAAGATAAGCCATACACTAATTTGACCCCCGATGAGCCAGGGGGTGGCAGGCAGGACCTTGTCTCCCCCCATCCCCAGCACAGCAGCTTGTCACAAGAGGGCCTCCAGTTTGGCTCCCACCCTGCAGTGAAAGCAACCCACATCCTACCTTACAACTTTTACTACTTTTAAAATAGTTTATTTCTGGTTTTAAAATATACATCAGTTTGAAAATCTCAGAAAAAAACCCACGTTAGTTGTAGATTAACAGGCTGGAATTAGGACACTGAAAATTGTCCCCCCCCCCCCCCCCCACACAAAAAAACCCTACACCACAAGA